GTACATTAGTGTGAAAACACATATTTAATGCGCACAAACTCTTGAAGTTATTTGAGCATGAAACTCTCATCAGCTGAAGAACGAAGTGTATAGATATTATATTGTGGCATAATTCCGAAATTATGACAATATTCAACACACGCATTCCAAATTCAGTTTAGAAAAAAATAATGCAGGGCTCTAAGCAGACATGGGCTTGGATTTATAACTTCATGTACATCAGTTTAATCATGTAGTCACAGTATTTGGAATTCATTCACATCGACTATCATCTTCTGTCTCTGTCTCTGTCTCTATCTCTGTATCGGGAGGCGGCCTATATGTGCACACAGCAAGAGCGTACGCGAGTGATGCGATGCCACACCCTATGGCACTAAGAACAACGATTTTGACTGCAAACATATGGTTATCATAGATCCAACAGGAGCCGGTTTTCCCGCACTGTTCCTGCCATACAAGACATGAACTGTCTATAACAGCACCGAAGACGATTGGTCCTGGGACGGATCCTGAAAATAAATGAAAAAAACAAAACTCAAGTACGTATTTGCATAAATGGGGAATAGAAAAAAATGTCTATAGGTATTGTTACTACAGTCAATTTAACTCGTGTCATATTTGAAATGACGCATTGCCCAAATATGCCTCCGATGCAAATGATCCCCGAGATCCCATGTAGTGCGAGATAGCGATGTAATTTAGTTTTGCTCTTTAAAAGATGTTGCATTACCTTCCGTCGTTGTATCTGTGTTTTTTTTAAATACTATATAGTTAGATAAGTCAATGAAAATATGGACGCGATGACGTCAAGAATGGAACACTGTTTGAAGGGCATAACATATCTCGTGGTTCTATCGTGTTGAACGAAACCTCGACGGCCAGTTACGTCTAAGGTTGTTGGAAATCAAAACCACCGAGTTTGGTGACATTCTCGGATACGACCTTCAATCTCTTACCCAATCACATGTCTCCACTATAAAACCAATTACAGACGATGACATTCAGCCTATCATCTAATCATACATGCAATTGTGTAACCAATCAAATATGACCGGATGTAAAAAGTAGCCAATCATAATGCATCTTAATTGACCAATTATAACAATGTAATTCATACTCTTCCCGCCCGAATTCTGAATGTATATACAGTAAGTCGATCATTGTCATGACTGTATCAGTGTTTCAATAAATTTGTCCAATTGTCAATAAGCTGTTGTCTTACTACACAAAGGTCTATTACATGCTATAGCCGTTATATTTTCACAGTAAGAGTGCCAACAATCTATGAAAGGTATATTTCGTGGAACTGTAAATCACGCAACAAATTCATGTACCTAAAAAAATTAAAGTGCATGAGCTAACTTACCTAAACATCGGTACAATATCGATGATATACCCAGCGCATGCGCCCTCTGCTGGTAGGGGACACACCTGAAATCACGCAGTGATGGCATGTCAATTATAGATAGCGCAATCAGAAATTGACAAAAGTATTTATCATTGTATACTATTGTGTTTATTGTATTCCGTTTAAGATAAATCACTATCAATAAATGCATATGCAATATTGAACAACAATGTATGAATGTTATATATGTTTTTCGCAATTATTGCGTTAAATTTAATTTTATTCATTTGTAACAATGTTAAAACACGGTACCTACCTCAGAGCTAATAACGACATTGGAGCATACAATGAAAATCCCAGGAAGAGGATTACGAAGAAGCCAAGTGCGAACGCAAGTAGCTGCCAGCAATATACGCTACACGTCCCTGAAACAGCTTGTGACGAACTTGAACCATCACCAGTATCGATACAAGTGCAGTTATAATACACCTAGACACATAAAACGAGCCGATTTGTTAGATTGTGTCCGTTTGAATGTTGTTGAAATGAAATTTGCATATGCACAATGCGGCACGTGTATATTACCTCTCCGTCGTCAGATGTGTCCATACAACCGGCATGACAAGAGTCGAAATATACCATATCATTCTCCCCGCATATTGGGTCGTACGTTTCTGTTCCGTGACAACCACAGTCAATGTTACAGGCGTTTTCAATATTGACTTCTGTCACTGGACTCGAGCTGGTGGGGACAGACATAGATGTTAAAAGTTTGGTAAGGCCAGACTTTTTTATTCCTTGTTTCTCGGGTTTTTATAAGGCAATTTTTTGAGGAAGGCGGAGACAAATTAAATTAATTCTTTTTCTTCATTAGATTTGTGTGATTCTCAAAGAATTGTAAGTGAAATCATTGATCGGAGAGAAGAAATGAAATCAAATGTTATTCCATGTATAACCTTGTTTCTCATCTGCGCGAGACTTCGGTACCTTGATCATGATACTCCCACGAAAATGCAACTTGGGTTTGTTATGCGGCGGGCGGAAAAAAATGAAGATAAAAATAAGTTTTTTTTTTAGCAATTTTTTGCACTTACAAGTCGGCGGGCGCGAGAAATTACGCTGTTCATTCGGCGGGTTCGCGAAACAAGTGATAATAACAGTCTGGCCTAATGTGTATGCAAAATCTCAGAAATCTAAATCTAAAAGAAATCTAGGCGGCGTTCAACTCGCTACACGCCATTTCACTGACGCCTTATCAGGGCGGCAGTAATAACTCGTTTGTAAACGCCATACACACGTCATGTGGCGCGCGTTTTTAGATGATGTAAAATCTTTCCGTTTCATTTATCGTTATAAATATTTATAAATTTCAAAATTCAAACCGAAACGGCTGATTGACTAACATTATAACGTTTTCGTTGTGCGCGGCGCTCGTTGATTGACTCATTCAATTGTAGTATAAAGATGAAGGAAATGGTTTCGTTGTGCAGTTGTATAATTGTTTGTCGTTGACGGCATTTTCTTTCAACCAATCAAATCTACGTCCAATAGCGTGCCACGTGCAATGAGATTTGTTACTGATGTCGCAGCTAGGCGTTTGACTGACGCATTGTAGCCTGTATATATAGTGGTACGCCGCCCAGACTTCGGGCTAGAAACAAATCATGAAGATATTCGTTGGTAACGAAGTGATCTTCTATTGAATTTGATATGTGCAAAGAATAACTACATCCCGGGGCATTTGATACATAGCTGGGTGGGGAGGTGCCCCTGAGTGCTCAAAGGTGTGACAATTTTTATACCTGGATAGTGGCAAAATCTATACCCATATTTATATCAAAGTACAATTTCTGTCATTTCTGTTTATTACAAATAAAACAGTTATTCCAAATAGAAGCCAACAGTTGCACTGTATATTAATTTATTAAAATATGTATTTTGACCATAGAAACACCTCTGTCACTTACATAAGGGCATATTAACACAATGTTCAGGTTATTTATAACAAATCGGAAAAATATTACCGATATTTATACCTATCTTGACCAGAAATAAGACTGATACTTATACCTAAAATCTAAAAAACGAGATTCATTTCAGGGGCACGTCCCCAGTAGGCAAGTTCTATGTATTGCCCCCCCCCCCCGGAACTACATAGTAGCTTGACATGTACTTACTCCGATACGTTGTAGGACGCAGTGACACCGGCGATGCTCTGCTGGGGGCATTGCAGTAGAAAGACGGGCACCAGACAGATCGCAATCGCTGTGACCAAGAAACACTGTATTCCGATTCCTCTAACAGTTAGTCGGGCCTTCTTTACAAACCAACCACCAAATAAGGTTCCACCAGCAGCTCCGGGCAGTGCTGTCACAGCTGTAAATAATTTATTTAAGTTATTTGTTTCTACTGAAGCCATGTTTATTTTATAATGGTGATATATACATGCTTAGTAAGATGTCACCTGCGCATGCCTCTACCCATGAGCATTTGCGTTTTAACGTGTGTTGTTATCATCGCTTGAAACACAATTACCGCGCGTGCGCCGGTGACGTCCCTCTCGCTTTGAGTTCATCGTCTACTTTCAAAATATTAACATCATAATGAGATATACTAGGATAACTTACCAAGAACAAGGGCAGCTTCCGATGACGTCAGTCCAAATTGGTTCTCGATGAATTTGGTTATGAATGGTAGAAGGCCACCAACGACGAAAGCCATGGCACATTTAGAGATTGTAGTGAATACGTAGAATGGGTTCTTGAAAAGCATTTTCGTGGCTGGCCACAAGTCCTTCCATCCTCGTCCAAAATCTGCCCTCGTCTTCAGTAATTCGCTGTCTTCATTATAGTGGGCCTCGGAGCCACGTTCATGTTGAAAAGCGCGTGCCCCTGTTATTGGTAAAGGTGATGCAAGTGTGAAACGGAATCAATCCAGTCAAGTTGAAGGGTGACATGCGTTGAACGTGACGTGAAAAATAATGACACGGAGGCATCCATGTGAAATGAAACAACATAGTTGAACTTTTGACTTTTCGTGTTTGTTTGCTATTACTAACACGCTGGACCATGGTTGTTCGTATACACATCAGACAGTCGTTGTTTCAGTATGGAACATAGTTAAGAGTTGCTCAGGTAATAGTCGCAAGGCGAAGTATGTATATATACCGTTGATTCAAATACTAGTAGGTTAAATGCATTATTTCATCGAGAGAATTATGTCTTGTTTCGTCGCAGATCATAATGTTTTCCAATGACCCAGTGTGGAAAAAAACATGCATCAAACACATCGAAATCAAACTAGAAAAAAAAACATTTTATTTCCTACAAGAAATTCAAAGACAGCTAGTAGTATTCACTGCAAAATATCTCCAAAAATTAAACAGAAAATGAGCTCGCTGGGGGTAATTACCTGGTAGTTCCGGTGGGAATGCCGCCATTGGTGGCGCTATCAGCCATGCCAGCACCCAAGCAATGAGAAATCCGATCCACCAGGCGCCAACCCAACTTGGATCTGATGATGTTATGGTTACACTGTGGGGTAAAAACAATTAGCCCACGATATTACGCAACTTCAAAATTATTAGGAACTGCACAGCACAGTCTAGATGCAACCTTCTTCGGGATGAAAACAATTAGGTGAGATTTATTTCGCAAGGGCGCCCTCTTTATGAAAAGGATGTTGTAAGAGCTGAGATCATGCACTTATAACACGTTATATTCGTCTTCTCACCGGCGCCATCTATTTACAATCTGGTGTCGTGATAGCACGTATTGATAAACATCAAACTACATCGCAGTGTACCTACCTGTCCTGATATCCTACGTCTACGTAAATTGTGAGAAACACAGCACCGAGAAGAAATCCGGTAGTGGGACCAAATACTGAACAAGCACTCAATAACGCTGCAATGAAATAAATTAGTATGAAAAGTATAATCCTGCGTTTTAAACACCGCCACTGAACAATGATTTCTATTGAAGGAAATTGATTCTAAAAACACGCACATGCGTTTCCTTGTACCCGCATAGATATGACATCGAAATAAGTGACCTTCTGTGCGGACACAAGCGTGCGGGTGAAATAGTTACAGTATGCATGTCTCACCCATATACCAAGCTGACTTGGCGTGTGTGGTGTTCTCGTCAATGTACGCATAGCCGACAGTATAGATGGGAGAGGCGCCAATGCCGTATAATATCTGAGCAAATACAAACACGAAGAAATAATAGGACAATGTTTCTTGTTCTTTGGTACAATCGGTCGCATCTGTGCTGTTTCCGTCAAGGTGGCACAAACCGTCTCCTTCATGTCCGCTGTCGTATTCGTATAACCCCGTCGTGAATTGCGGTAATGCCCAGACAAGCGAACCGAGTCCCATGATAACAGCACCTGACCCTAGTATGAGGGGTTTGTTTCGCGTCGCTCCAAAGTATGAAACAAACACTATAAGAACACTCACGGTGACATCGTAACTACTGACTATCACACCCGTGGCTGTACTCGACAAATTGTACCGCGTCTCGATGGTAGATATATTAATGTACACAAATCCATTGATAGCTAGTCCCTGCACGAACATTAACACCCCCAGCGTCGCTGCCAACCAAGATGCGGTATTGAAATACTGCAACCACGTCGGTCGTATATGAAACCATCCACATAACGTGCCGTCAGCATTATCCGTGTCTGTTTCGACATCGTCTTTGTCCCCACATTTGTTTGAGATTTCTCCGTTCATTCCGTAATATTTTAGGTTGTTCGATTTAACAGTCATGGTTCCCGTAGGTCTTGCCGGCTCTGTGTAAATCAAGTCTGATTCGGAAGGGTTCGGACGCCTTGTCGGTATGGCGCTGTCTGATCAGTGACTGCTCCACATCTGATTCAATGTTTAGTCAGCATGCGGCTATTAATAACATCCGGGCAAGAGGACACTATGCGGGTATTCGTCCCAATTGAGATCGTGATTGTGACGCACATTGTCACTCTTGTTCTCGCCTCATACATCATTACCAAATGAATCCATGTACTTTACCTTCACGACGCACATTATTTACATTGTCTCTCACATCGTTATTAACTTTATAATTGAATTTTAGGTAGTTTTAAAAATTATGATGATAGAATAAGTCAACATGGCTAAAACGAGTTTAAATTTAATTTTTGACTCAGCCATTTTCTAAAAGTTACTAAACATGCTACTTTTACAACCTATACACCGTTTGAAAATTAAATAGAGGCGAATAAGGTACCGTAAGTACAGTACCAATGATGTTTGTCTAAAGCATCTGACAGCCAAATTCAATATTGTACATGTGCCGCCACGGCTTTTTTTGGCTACATCGACTATTAAAACACTATTTCAGGCACATTCGAATGGCCTGCGAATTGCACCCGGATCATGTTTGTAGCAATATAAGCTAGACGATCGCGTTTCGAACCATAAAACTACAGACCGATATTCCGATGCCAGTAACATTTATTTATTTATTTATTTATTTATTTATTT